CTAACAAGTTATTCAGAAATGTGTTTGGTGGAAGTTTCTGAAGCCCGCCTTCTGGAATGGGAAATGATTTTGTGCAAGTTGGGCAAGTCAGCTTACCCTTCTTCTTAACCCAGTCTTCCAGACAGGCCAGACAAAAACTATGCAAGCAGTTGAGAGATTTTGGATTCTGGAGTCTCTTCAAGCATATGGCACACTCTAAGACTTTCTCATCAATATCTTCCAGAAACTGATGGAATTTACTTGTAGCCATCTTGATATAATCCTGTAAATTAGTATAATTTAAATGGTTAATATAATATTACTAGGGCTTTAGTTGATATACCATAGAGCTCCTAGTGGTAGTCTGCATTTTGGCCCTGTAGAAGTATGCCCTCATAATGTTTGGATAACTGTGGGAGTAGAATTAATAAAGTTAGGACTTTCTCATCAATATCTTCCAAAAACTGATTAACCTCATCAATGTCTTCCAAAAACTGATTAACTTGTCACCATCTTGGTAACCCTGTAAATCATTAATAATTTAAATTAATATAATTTCACTGGGCTCTGTGTGGTCCCTCAGTAGCAGTCCATGTTGCAAGTCCTATTTACACAGAGAGACTGTGGCACTTGACAAAAATAATATTGAATAATAATTGTGATGGTGGTGACATTGGTGATGATAATGGTGGTTAGTGATGATGATGATAATGTCGATAGTGATGATGGTGAAGATGGTGATAGTGATGGTGGCTGCAGCGATAGTGGTTATGGTGATAGTGATAATTGTGGTGGTGAGGATGATGGTGATAATGGTGATGATGTTGGTGATGATATTGATGGTGATGATAATAACGATGCAGTGATGATGATAAGACCTGCCACATTGAGTTTTTTGTTAAAATAATACACAGGAGCAACACAAAATAGAGGGCCACAGAATGGAGGGTAACATCACAGACCCAAAATTATGGTTGATGCTAAGGTTTTATTTGGTAGATGCGGTTGGCGCATCGGTTGTGGCTTGGATTCCCATCCTCAAGGTAGGGGGTTTCGAAACTCTCGCAGTGCTAACCACATGTGTCCTTGGGCAAGGCACTTTATCTACAGTTGCCTCTCTCCACCCAGGAGTACATGTGGGTACCTGGTAGGTTCGAACACAAATGTGCTGATTTAAGGAGGCTATGCCGTACTGGGCCAAGAAAACAAGGCATTTTGGGGTTATTTTAGCTATTCTGAGACGTTTTAACTCTTAAATACCCAATATTGTTTTTTTATTTTTTACCAAAATCAGTTGAACTACTATTACAGCCATGTACCAAACAAATTAAACTATACATTCTGAAACTCTTCTAGAATGTAGGCCATTTTACCAGGACTACGGCAGTATGTGGTGGGGAGTTAGAACCAAGAATAAAAAAAGTCTGTCTAACTTCAAATGAAGAAACATAATCTTAGCGAAAATTGTCTGAATTCGATGAAAGTAATACAAATCACATTTAGGAAGAAGACCATAAACGGAACATGCGTATTCAACTGTGGATGGTTGTGGGATTTATAAAGAAGATTAAAAGTTTCGGTAGAGAGGGAATTCTCAAACAAAATTAAGAACGGAAAGTTTCCGCATGGCAAATTTGTAAACATAAAAATAATGAGAACATGCCATTTCAAATTATTGGAAATTATGATACCTAAGTATTTAATATTATCAACGGAATCAACCAAAGTACCATTAATGTATACAGGGATAATAGAATGTGCTGATTGCCAAAATAAATATTCAAAACTTTACACTTAGTGGGGGAAAATAAAAGACCATTATGAGTCGACCACATCTATCTCGAGCTTACGCGCAGTGGTTGAAGTATAATCAGAAGTTGGAGTTTAAAGGAACTTATTAAGATTAAATCGTCAGCAAATAAGGAAACAGTGCATTCAATACTGTGTATGATATCATTGATGAAGCATAGAAATAAAGTCGGGCATAATTTACTGCCTCTATTGGAAAAGAAGAGAAATTCAAAGAAAAAAGAGGTATAGAAAATAAAAGAAAAAAGGTTGGGGGTGGGTGGAGAATACAATTCAATTCAAAATTAATTTCAGGAAAAATAAATAAAATAAAAACATGATGCTGCCTTCCAAGGATTTCCAAACAAGTTTAAAACTATCAAGTGGCTCTCCTAACAGCGTCATTAAAAATTAAATAGCACGCAATTATTTATATAACATTTTTCAATAAATAAAAAACAAGAAAAATAATAAAAATAAAAATAATTAAATAAATAAAAAAATAAATAAGAGTAAATAGAGTAAATAAAAATAAATAAAAGTATATATATATATATATATATAT